TATTAATATATTGTAATATAATATAATTTATTAATATAATATTATTTATAAGTAAATTTATGCTCAAAAGTTTTAATAAATTGTTATACTCATTTAAAGCCCTTTTTTCAATTTTTTTCCTTTTCAAATTCGTAAAACAATTTTTATAAAAATAGTCTTATTATCCATTAACAAGTAAGTCATTTTCCGTTAACCAATCAATTTTTTATCAAATAAATACTTAAAAATATGAAATTTATTTTTTGAAAATCACTTTTCACAAAATAAACTAAACCTTAATGTTAAAACCCACTTCTTCCCATTCTTTTCTTATTTTTTTTATTCCTATCATACTTTTTTCTTATTATCTACTTATTGGCGCAAAGATACATGTATAATCCAATAGTTATATAAGGTTGAAATTTTAAGTAATGCAAAAACTTATTTGTTTCCTCTTCTTTCTTTTTTATTTCATTGTTATATTTGTTTCCTAACTCTCTTTATGTATAGTTTACAACAAATATTGACTTGAAATTAAATTTATTTTTTAATTAAGATATATATAAATTCATTTTTTAATTTTAAATTTTTTATTTGATCCATTTCATGTTCTTATATTTTAAAATGTATCATGCTTTTGCTTTCTTGGTTAGTTTCTCTTTCTTTCGTGGTTTAATTAGTAACTTTTAAATTTATTATATTGCTATTTTAATGATTTTTATCAGGCATTATCTAAATTTTAATATATTTATGAAAAAAAATCTTGATTTATTACTTAATTGCCTATTATTAAGATACTTTCAATTATTAACAGAAAAGTTTTCGTGTAAAAATTCAGGACTTTATAACTATGAAGAGTTTTTTTTTTAATACATAAAAAAAGATAGTAAAAAATAATTTACCTTGGAATCAAGGCGACTTTATACTAACTTTTACAAACCTTATAGTAATTATTGGATAAAAATGTTTATACTAATTATATTGCTTAATACATATCTACATGTAAATATGATAACTAATTATTATAGACTAAATTACTAAAACAGAAGAAATAAGTAAGAACCTCATTTTTTTTTTAACTCTTAAAAAAAGTAAGCATTGCATTTTAAGGAATTTAAGTCTCTTTGATTAAAAATTTTGGCATGCAATTTTGATGGGAAATGAGTTTTTAATTATGTTATTTCATAATAAAAATAAAAAGTTTTGATGAGTAAGTCTTCTCACATATATGAATTCAAGATTAAACTATCATCTAATATGAAATAGACCATTATTTTTTTAAAATTAACTATTAAATCTTTTAGCATGAAATGATGCATTTGTTTCCTATTTTTCATATTCACATACTTTTAATTTGATATATTTTTTCTTTGTAAGTATTTAATAATATTTTCTTTATCAATTTAACAGTTCAAAGTCCTTTTTCTTACCAAGTATTTGTAGATTGTTATAATTTTTAATTATAGGAAAAATATACACTTTAATATAACAATATCTATTTTAATTGAACACAATAATAGAATTTAATGGTTTTATTTCAAATTGCTGATATAAATTGATTATTAAATGAAAATAATTAAAATTCATGTATTTATATTAGATATATTAATCGTATAAGAATAAAATCATTATTAGTGCATTTAAAAATTGTTTGGATATTTAATTTTATTATGATTTTTGTTTATAGTATGTTTTAAATTTATCAAATTTTTAATTAAAAACTTTAATTTTATTATGATTTTGATGTCTTAATTATATTATATGTATTATATATATTTTAAATATGTAAGTAATTAAATAGTATTAAATTATATTTTTATACACATTTAATAAATAAAAATAATCTGTACATCTCACAAGTAGCAATCTAGTTTGTATATATAATATAATCTTTTAATTTTAATAGAATAATTTTATTTTTTGATTCAAATATTTTTTACATAATTTATATTATAAAAATTCATTTATCTATCAATAAATATATTTTTTAGTTTAATAATTTAATTATATTTTATTATGAAGTAAATAAAATATAACTAATAATTTATAAATTATTATCTTTAAATAATATTGAAATTATTGACTTGTGTAGCTATTTTAATGTACATGATTATTTTTGTATTTTTACACGAAATAACGTTAGATTTTGAACAATAATAAATACAGTAATCTTTAATTATAAAAAATTAATCAAATAAAGTGATTATAAAATTATCAGTAATAAGATCACCTTGGTGATTAAATTATCATTGTGATTTTGAAAATGATACTAAACACAACTTAGCACTAAAATAATTTTTTATTTTTTGTGAAATATTTTTTTATGGAATTTTATATGTAAAAATTTAAAATTAAATATTATAAATACAAAATATTGATAAATAATAATAATTAAAATAATAAATTTTAAATATGTATCTTTAAAATTATAACTAATAAATTATAACTTATTAAATTAATTATTTTATTCATTTTATTCTTATCCTTTTTTAAAGTAATTTGATAAATTTCATTCTTATATTTTTTTGCATTACTTTTTAGCCGCTATATAATTTTTATAAATTTGTATACATAAATAAATATAAAAATATAAAAGAATAATTCACTTATATCAAAATAAAATTAATAATTTTACGATGAGATTAAAACATTTTTTACTCATCTCCCTTCTCTCTTTCCTTTAACATTTCTCCTCTTTTTTTTTTTTTCACTATTCTTAATTTTCTTTCTTAAAAACTCAAATATAAAGCTTTAAAATTTTTTTCATTTTTCTTATTAAAAATTTTAATTACTAGAAGCCTGGAAAATTAATGAGTAAATAATTAAAAGAATTATTGTAAAATAATGTTCAAGTTCTTTTTTTTTTTTTATCATGAATTTTTTATACTAAAAGTAGCATAGGGATGGAGAGAAGAAGCGTGAAAAAAAAATTTGATAGAAGTGATAAGTGATAAAAACAGGCTCCAATTGAATTCATTATAATTCGAGATATATTATTATATAAATTTTATGTATCAAGTCAAATGATATTAATTTATTAATTAATTTTTTAAAATAAAATTTTATATATTTATCTTAAGAATTAATTAAAAAGTATAAAATTTATATTTTGAATATGCATCATCAAATATAATTTTAAAAATTTTTTAAGTAAAAAGTTAGTAAAAGAAATAAAATAATGACATAAGAGATCCAAAATATACTTATATTTAAAAATAAAATAGTTACACCATATCAATATATATTTCTTCTAGTTAAGTTATGTCGTATAATTAAATTATTAAAAAAATTAATTTTTTTATTTGTGCAAATGCACAAGATTTTTATATTTATAATAATATTTAATTTAATTCATTAAAAATGTACATGAAATTTTTGTAGATTCAAAATTTTATTTTTATCCCTAAATATTTGTATCTTCTCTCTTTTATATTTTTAATTTAATTTATATATCTAATGTTAAAATCTTTGATTTGATTTTTAATTTCATAAATTGAAAATACAAAATTTCAAAACAAAAAAACTTAATTTATCAACAAAAATCTTAAATAACTTTTGAATTCCATCTTAATTTAGAAAAGTATATTAGTAAATATTTAAAACATTTCATTTTATAAATTTGATTGCTTAATTGGCAAAAAAGAAAATTTTACTATATAAAAAAGAATGTTTACATAAAATCTAAATGTAGTAGGTATTTGTAGATATCAAAAAATTATAAGAAAATTTGATAATTAAGATAAAATGCAATTAAAATTTAATAATGAAACCAATCAAAAAAATAAAGAAATTTTAGATTGAAGACAAAAATGTGATTTAACAAGTTGAATCAAGAAAAGTTTATCAGATTCTAAATGATTTTTCAATCTCCTAAATATTTATTTTTTCGATGCGTACATATACCCATGAGTAGAAAATTTTATTCACTATAAACAAAATAAAATAATGATAAGAAAACTCTAATTTAAAATTTTTATCACTATAATAAAATAAAGTTTTAAGTAGTAGCAACAGAATTGCTATATATATTAACAAAAAATTACATGAAAATAAAAAAATGAAAAACCTGTTTAAAAATAAATCACATACTTAAGGAAACAAAAAAATATGCTTTTTTAAAAAAGATTTATTATTTATTCTTTTTAACTGCATAAATTATTGTAAAAAGAAAATAATAATAAGGAAACTTAAGGGAGGCAATAGATTTTTGAAAAATAAATATTAATGAAAAAAATATTTTTAGATGAAGAATTTGAAAAAATCTAAAATGGAATAAGTAAATAAAAGAGTTTTAGATATAATAAAATAGTAAAAATTTATTAAGTTTTCAATTCTAGGTAAAATGTTTTAAAATATAAATAATTGAACATGGTTTTATCCATTTGTTTAAATTGGTGTTTTTATTTGCTTACTTAACAAGATATTTAAAAATATATATTAATATGGACATCTTTAAATCCTAAAATCAAAATATTTAAATAGTAATTTATACATGCTCCAATTAATTTAAACAAATTTGAATAATTTAAATAAATTTGAATAATATAAAAAAATAAATAATCATATATCTTTTTCTCTGTTTTCAAATTAATATTTTAAATAAAGCAAATAATATTAAATAAAATAAAATTTGAATATTTTAAATGAATTTGAATAATATTAAATAAAATAAATAATCGAATATCTTTTTATTTATTTTTAAATTAATATTTGAATATATATTATTATTTAATGATTTAATTTAAAATTTTTTATATTTAATTATTTTTATAATATATTATAATTATTTATTATTATCTTATATATCTTCTAAAAAAATCCACGTAATATTATATATAATATATGATTAATTATTTATTATTTATCATATATAATAATTAAATAATAATAATTAATTAATTATTTTATAATATATAATTAATTTTTTAATAATATTATTATTAAGATAATTTAAATGGAAGTGTCAAAGTGACGTGTTTCACCATATCTTTTTCTTTATATTTTATAATATAAGGATAAACCGTGGCAAGCAACCTAATGCAGAACAGTAAAAGGATAAACCGTAGGTTTGAAAAGAAGAGGGAGAGAGTCAAAAATTTTAGAGGGAGAAAAACGCAACAGAAGGATGGGAAAGACGCAGTTCACTAATTTTTGAAACTTCATTCCAAATCTTTGCCGTTTTTTTCTTTGTTCGTCTCTCACTTTCTCTAGGGTTTCTGCAATTTTTTCTTCCTATTTTACTAACGAAATATGAAGAGGAAACTTGACACTCGTTTTCCCGCCGTAAGTTTTTTTTTATTTCTTCGCGTTTTTCCCTTTAGAAAATTTTTTTTTTGTTACTTCCGTCAGTTATTAAAAATTAAAGTTGTTTCTTTTAGCATTTCTGTCGATTATTACACATATTTAAAAAATATTGCTTGGAGTATTATTTATTTTTACAAGTGTGTTATGAAATTCGTTTGTCTTGTTATAATTGACGTTAATCATTCAATAGGCTCGAATAAAGAAGATTATGCAAGCTGATGAGGATGTTGGAAAAATTGCTATGGCTGTCCCTCTGCTTGTTTGTAAGTACTTTTGATTTTCGTTTTTGTCATAAATTTTGTTCATTGCAAATACAAATGTAGTAACAAACTACTTTATGTTTTGTCCGAAAAGGGACTTCCCGAAGGTTAGAACCTCAAAATTTCAGTTTCGAATCTTAGGCAGGGATTAGGTTTTATGGGATGGGAGAGGGCTATTTCCCGTTATTCAGTTGTATTTAAATGGAAAACTAATTTATCATTTATTATAATTAATGTTTGTAGCTAAAGCATTGGAGCTATTTCTGCAAGATTTATGTGACCGAACATATGAAATAACTTTGTTGAGGGGTGCCAAGACTGTGAATTCTTTGCATCTGTAAGCGAAAATTTTTTTATTAAAGATTTTTTTACATATTATATTGTCTTTCTTTTTTTCTCCTTGGGTTTTAAACATTGAGATTAACTTTGTGGGTTTTGATCTTGCAGAAAGCAGTGTGTACAGGGCTTTAATGTTTTCGATTTTCTCAGAGAAATTGTTGGCAAGGTTCCTGACCTTGGTGGTTTGGATGCTGCTGGTGAGGATCGTTCTGTTCCCAAAAGAAGGTTTGGAAAGTTGTATATTTATAGGTGAATGTATAAAGTAAGCTGGTTATCTATAATGTTGCTAATACTTTTTTATTTGCCAGGAAAGTAGTTGATGATGATCAAAATGCTAGTGATGATGAGCCAAAGAGGAGCAGAATGGTATGTCATTCATGATCTTTGATACTTATCATGGATATGCCCCCTCCACTTTTCAACCCAAAAGCAGTTGGGGATGGGGAAGTACTTAATATAAAAGAATGGAGCTATAAGAAGTAAGAACAGTGTGAATACACTTGCAAGCTAGAAAAAAAAATTGCTGCATTTAGTAACCAGTTAACTTTAAGTCTAGATAACAATTATAGTTCCTGCTAGAAGTTGTGTCGTGTTGGTAAAAAATATGATGTAATGTAGCATGACAAGATGAACATTGTGTTCACTGCCACTTTTTCTTTTTTTGTAGCATGAGACTGCCCATGTTATCAGCTGTGGCAGAGGTCGGGGTAGGGGCACAGGGAGAGGTCGTGGAAGAGGGAGTCAAATAACAAAGAGAGATACATCTGCACAATGTGAAAAGTTTGAAGATGATCTAGACATTTCTTATTTTCAAGAAAAGCATACTTTAAGTTGTGAAAGGCTTGACGATGAGGCAGAGCCTGAAGAGTTGAAGAAACATAATCCAGCTGGCAAGAACATTGAAGCCCCAGTTCGAAACTTTGACCTTAATGCTGATTTGGATGAAAATGGGGACTCAACCACATCCATTGCTCCAGCAACAACAGACAACATACCTGAAAAGGAGCAATTACCTGGTTGGTCACTCTCTGAAATTGAGAACATGGCTATTGATCCAATTGAACTTGCTAATTTAAGCAGGGAGATAGATGAGGAAGACTATGATGAAGAAGTCTAAGCAACTGAATCTCTGCTTCAACATTTGGTATTATAGTTGGCTGTCTCATACATGTGCAGTTCTTTTCTAAGATAGAGAAAGTAGAATTTAAGCTTGGAAAAGAGAAATGTGGTAGGAAGAAGAAGAAGCACTGAAAGGTACATTCTAGATAGGTAATGTTCTGATGCTTTTAGCATTTTATTTAAAAAAATTTCTCTAGGAGTGTGTAATATATGTTTATACTATAACCGACTGCACTCTTCAATTCCTTGTGTCCTCTGATGACTAAGGAGCAAAGATCTTTTAAGAAAAGAAAAAGAATACTGTTCCTGCTACCGTTAATGTCAATATAGTTTATTCCATTTTAAATATGTTTGTCTTTTTGGGCTATATTTTAAGTTAATTTGGATGGGTTAAATTAGTTAGGTTTAAGTAAATTTGATAATTTTAAATACAATATGTTGAAACCATATGAAAAAAAAAGTGATATGATTTAAAATTTCATAAAAAACTGTATATGAATTTGTAAAAACAAAAAAAAATATATTTTTGTATTTAAGGTATTAACACGGATTATGATACGATAATTTTCATATTTTATGTGTTTGATATGAAATAAACATGATACAAATATTGTTGGATTAAAATTTTAATCCAATCAAATTTCAAAGTCACTAGATGCAAAATCAAATGATCAATTAATTAAATATATAAAAGATAATAATTTAATATAATTTGATCCAATCGATCTACATTCATGGATGAGAAACAAGATTTATTAGTTGTAGAGAATTATAAACATATAAATTAAATCAAGTACTCATAATTGATATACATAAATTCTCTCAATCTCTTTTAGTCTTATGGAGTATTTTTAATCTAAACAACAAATATTCATGTGCATCTTTTCAATATAAACAAATACATATCCAAATATATCCATTCATCATACCTATATAAATCCTCATACCACTCCTATGCATTATACCTACGTGGATCCTTTAAATTTTTTTAGTTCACTCATAAACATATAAATATATGTACTCATAAGATTTAAATCTTCAGTATTTTTATGGGATGTCTATCTCATGAAACTCTATAACTCTGTTACATTTTTTTTTGTACCTAACTCTATAGAGATTTCATCTATTTATAAGCATACAAATTTGTCTATTAAGAATTTATTTCTTCTTAAATTTTTTTTTGTAAGTCAAACTAAACTATTAAAAATTTTTTTTTTTTAAATTCTTCTTTTACAAATTTTTTTATCAATCAAACAATATCTAATTAATCTTAAACAAATAAGTTATAGGATTAGAGTCAATATTCCTAACAAATATATGAATTACCAAATTTAGGTCTAATAATTTCACCATATAATATATATATATATATATAAATATAAAGTTCGTTTATTAATGTAATTGAGGTAGTGCTGCTTCCATAAATTTTTTATTCAAGAACAAGCTGCTCTTTCTTTTCCTTTCACTTGCAAGCTAATAATGCCAGCCCCATTGGCTTATATATTGTATCTCTAAAAATGTGCTGTTCTATGAAGTTTCTCTTAAATTGGAGATCGATGTAAATATTGTTATGGTATTAAGGATAGGGAAGCCCAACTCCTAACATAGCAAGAGGATGGTAGGGCAATAATGCAAGAGGTGCCGCAGATGATAAAGCAGCTCATCCAATTGGTGCAAATTTTGCATACACACTATGGAATGCCTGATGAAAGTGCTGGAAATTGACTTTAGACATCCAGAAAGGTTGTCATGGAATTCTCCACAATGGAGATTAACTTCAGACAGTGCTATCATATTAAATTTAATTTAACTATAGAAATTACAGAAGAAGAAACAACGGAAAGGTAAAAGGGAAACAACGCAAGTAAATTATTTACTTTCTTCAATTTATATTTGTGTTCTAGATTTGCTTAACACCACTGAATTTAGCACACGTTAAATCCGAATTAAAATAATACATAATTACATTTATTTAAAGGAGACACGTCTTTGATATCCTGATGTCCTTTCACCACCAATCTTCTGTCACCTGAATTAAAACGAAGATAATAGCATTATCTATATAAAGACAGATGTTCTTTGTCAGGAAAACATTCCCTTCATTACTTAAAAATTTATGAAAGTTTTTATGTTGATAAAAGTACTTCCACTTAAATTAATGATGAATATTTGTTTAAATTATTATTTATTTATTTTTATATTTAATTTAAAATCATTAAATTTCATCTATAAATTTAATTAAAATTACATTTAGCACTCTTAAATAAAACAATAAAAACTTTCATTGATTTTTAAATAACAAAAAGGATTCTAATTCTTTTCTTAAAAGCAGACCGCCAGACCTACATGACGACACAATTTCCTGCCAACTGTTCTTAATCTGTGGGTTGAGGTAACCTATACGACTTGATTATCTTGGTAGATTCATATAATCTTCAATTATTTTTACTACAATTTCATAATTATACAATCAAAACCATGAATTATATCAAGTTACAGCATTCAAACATCCAAATGGACCCACAGCATGAACAAATGAGATTTCATAATTGTATATAATTTTAGTGGTTCAAAAAAGATAATAACCCATAATTTTTTTTTTAATTTTTTAGAGTAAAAAATAAAAACAAAATTAAGAATGAGTTGGCCTTTACTCTAAGCGGTGGCAGTGCAAACAGCAGGGGCATCACCAATAAACTTGAAATCCTGCAACTCTTTGAAATTCATCCAAGGCTTCTCCCACACTTTGGCTTCATAAATTTTCAATTTGTCACCGTCCATTGCCTCCAATGTTATGTAGTACATAATCCCAGAAACCACTTGCTGCTTTACGTTCAACACTTTCCTAAACTCCAGCATCGTACTCTACATTTATAACCCAAAAACTAATAATAATAATAATCATAAACGAGTAATTTAGAATAATTTGAATAGAATTAAGATGTAAAAATCGTAATTAAAATAGCAAAAAGAGGTACCTCCTTCTTTTTGTGTTCATCAACAGCAAAACGAGCGAGGTTTTCCATCTTCTGACTATTCTCGTTTCCATCAACCTGGCTAACTCCACCCAATTTTGCCATTCCTCTTTCTCTTGTTTTTCTGATAATTTTTTTTTACATGTGATTCTTATATCCAAGTGTGTGTTTTTATAGAAAATCAGAGGTACGAAATGACAAAAATAAGATTTTTTTTAAAAAATTTTAAAATTTCTTTTTTTTCTGGCCAAATAGAATTCTTAAATTCTAATCGTTGGAAATAGACGCGGAATCAAAGAATCACATTGTCCACACTTCAAAATATCCTGGGTCAATTTTTTTGCTTGTTTTGGTTTGGGAAGGTTTTATTCCATCTCTTTTTCTTTTCTCAAAATCATTCTTAAATAAAATTATTTAATTTTCTTTTCAAATTTCTTTTCACTTTTAAATTTTGTATAAATTCAAAATTTTTTAAAGTCTCCTCTTATATCCGGAAGCTTTTAAAGTTTCTATCCTAGATCCTTTAAATAAAAATAATCTAAAGATCCACATGTATAATTTTTTTTATTAATTTGTAACTTAGTTCATAATTATTTAAAATATATCGTGTTTTTTTTTTACAATGTTATAAAAATTCTTCAGAATATGATTTTTCTTTCAATTAATTTTAAATATAACTTATTCAGATATGAAATATAATTTATCAAATATTCATATCTGATAAATTATAGAACTTATTGAATTTGATAAATTTTATAACTTTAATTATAAAATTTATTGGAAATGAATATTTAAAAAATTTTAAAATTAAAAATAATTAAAAAAAAGATAAATGTGAAGAGTAAAAATAGGAGCGCTAATACAAACATCCTTTGGTTTGTTGCGCCTTTTGCAATTTGCTTTCAATCAGTTATTTTTCTTATTTTGTAGGTTATAACATTGGGGAGAACGAAAGAGCGACGACAAAATATGTCGAAATTTGAAGTAATGTATTGAAACTCAAGGATTGTCTTTATCGAGAAAGTGATGGGCATAAATAACAAAGTAGTATTTATAATATATTTGAATTTGATTAGAATAAAATTTAAATATAATTTAATTATTGTTGAAATGAGCAGTTTAATTTATTAATTTAGTTAATTTCAAGCATTAATTTGACTTGAGTAGTTTATTAGGTTAATTTAATTTTTTTATTTTAATATGTATTTTTATTATTTTAATAAAAATTGTTAATTAATGTATATATATTTGAGTTTAAATTAAAATTTAAATATAAATAATTAAATTTAAAATTAAATACAAAAAATGAATTTATTTTTATTTAATAAATAAATCTAATTAAATAAATTTAAATTTTATCTCAAATCAAATTTAAATTTAAAATTTAATTTAACTCAATCAAATTTTGAACAATAAATTTTAAATCTCAAATTGATAATATGAATTTTTCGCTATACGAACTCAATTACACAAAACCACATCATAACGTAAGCTGTTTGAGAATCGAAATCTAGAGCTCATGTATATCCAAAACATGCTCCAGCGAGCAGTGGCCCATGGATTTCCAGAGAATCTACTTAGCTTCAGGCTTAAGAGTCGTGATGGAATTTGGCTCATTAACAATAGCTGCCAAATCTGCCAAAATGATGCGGAAGTTGGGAAGCTCGGCATTGGTTTCTGTCATCCCAAATGTGAACTAATGAGCTAAATTATAGATTCAATTTAGGCTAAATACTTAATTTAGAAGTAAACTTTTAAGATGATGCTTAAATTACGAGTAAACTTTTTATTTAAGTTAAATTAAAATCAAACGTTTGCAGATTTTAAATATTTAATTTTTTTTCATTTTTAATCTTCTTTTTATTTTTTACCCTAAATTAAGTTAACATGATTAATTAATCTAAACTAACCCTAATTATGTTAAGTAATCACACAATTATCATTAAAAAATATATATTTGGACATGTATCATGTCACAGAATTAAAAATTGACACCTATTCTTCCACATCATGTAAAAAATAACAACCATTCATCAAAACGTGTTTTAATGACGAACGTTACACATATACACAATTTTATCATGAAAGATCTTTATTTGTTATATCTTAAGAACGTTTGATTCGTATTTAACTCAAATAAAATGTTTAATTTTAATTCAAATATCATCCTAAAAGATTAACTTTAAATTGAATATTTAATTTTTAATTTATGATATTTTAGTATCATATTTAAATTATTTCGATGGAGATAATTTTTAATATAAATTATTTTAAGTTTGAGTTATGTCCATTTTAACTAATTTCATTAAGGATTATAAGTTTTTAAAATTAATAGAAATAAAGTTGATTTATCGTTTTTATAATCATTTATATTATATCCATTAATTTTGCAATTAAATTGAAGTTTAAAATATTATATATTTCATATATATCGATTAGCAATTGTTCATGAAAAACAAGAGTGAAAGCTCAGGGTTGAGATCAAATATAGGAAAGCTGCTAGGGAGTGGGCATGGGTATAATGGCAGAATCATTGTCAACTGGTCTCCTGTAGAATGCCATTGAATGTAAAGGTAGTGACTAGTGAGACTATACAAACTTGGCTGGAACTCCCATGGGATTTTCCTTTTTTTTTTTTTTTTTTAGAAAAGGAAGTTCATTGCTTTTTGAGGGTAACTTCAAGTGTAACTTTAATTTAATATTTGAAGTTTTTTTCCTTTTTCTGTCAAAGAACCTTAAATCTCAATTCTCAATGAGCTATCACTCTTGTTTTTCATGATAAATTGCTGATGGATATATATGAAATATATAATATTTTAAACTGCAATTTAATTGAAAAATTAACAGATATAATATAAATGATTATAAAATGACTTTAAAATCAACTTGATTTCTATTAATTTTAGAAATAAAAAAAAATCTCAGTCGAAATAAAAAAAATGTTAAAAATGTTGAAAAACAAATTGCAAATTGAAAAAAAAATTATCTTCTGGAAATAAAAATGTCTCATGTAAGATAATTACAAAATACAAATACCTTTAAAAACTTTAAGCCCTTAATCTTTAAAAATATAAACTATTTGGAACATAAGTTTTCACATATTTGTTAAGGAGATAATCATGAAAAAAAAAATCAACCTTCCATTCTATTAAATTGAAACGACATGAAAACGTCAGGATTTAGTGCAAGAAGTAAAAGTAGAAAGTCCAAACTCTTCCTCTTCTTATATGTTTTTAATGCATATAATAATTGTTTAATGGCTAACTTCAAGTTTATGAGTATTAAAACCTCTAAACTTAATTTCAAATTTTTATAAGAATTTTATTTTTTCATCATTGTGCAACTTATATATTTTTGTTATTTACTACTTTTAATTGATCATAACGTTTTTTTGATATATAATAAATTCAAACTTTACTCATAAGATAAATATGCCTATATACAATAAGAGTTCATAGTATATTTAACTTCAATTTCAAATACTTTCACAATCATTTTATGTCTAATATGTTCATATCTAGATCACCATATCAATGCAAGTCATGACACATAAATCCAAAGAATCATTTTCATAAAATAGTATAACTAATAATTATAATATGAGTTTTACTCATATTTCATGCAAAAATTCGTGAAAATTTTGCATTGGTTAAATCATTGATTGGTTAACTCTAAAACTTATGATTTTTGCAAATCAATATTATTATCTAAGCCCATATGTTAATATGATGTATAACCAACTACGTTCTTGCTATTGTTATGAAATTATTGAAAACTTCATAAACTTGTTCACTTTTTATTTTAATAGCTTGTAAAAAGTCATTTTTTTAGATACAAGAAGCAAAAATATCTTCATTATGTTTAACCAATAATGCATTAATTAGATGATGGCATTCTATCTCTATTGTTCATATTTTTCTTATATGTATAAGAAAGAAAATTCCATCCCATTTAGTTTATTTTCGTAATATATGAAAAATTGTACCAATGTTCTCTGTGCCATCACAAAATGAAATTAAACACATGCATGTATTGGTGCCTTTGGAACATTGAATTTGTATGTTATTTTTTAATTTATAAACATGCCTAATTAGACATTGATAAGCATCATTCAAAATGTCAGTAACTATCAAATACTTCAATATTTTTTTTAATGACATGTCTTTTCGTTTAGTCAATATACCATAGCGAAAAGCAACAATGATTTTTTGTAACCATTGATTAACTCTTTGATTACTATTTATGATTTTCACTTTGTAATTATTCACAATAAAATTTTATTTTGTAAAATCACTTCTACTGTAATACACCCAATAGACAAAATACATATCATATTGCCCATATTTCTGATAATAACAATTATTTGATTTATTATCCACCAATTAATCAATGAAATATCATATCTTAATAATAATTATTTACAGATATCGATTTAATTTTAATTGGTTTTCATAAAAATTGAACACTGATCAAAATTTGAACTAATAATAAATTTAAAAAATATATCTATATTAACATTTGATTTATAAACGGTCAACAAATATAGAACCATACAAATAGCTTGACTCAACTTCTTATCTTAATTTTGATGCCATGATTTAATAATAAAACTGATTTTGTAACCAAATCTTATTTTTTTTTGCATATATTTTCTACTTGCATCTAATTTTTTATGGTAAATTCCTTTATCCTTTTTTGATTATTTTCATAGAGACCATATAACAATTTACTTATTTTATATATAACTAAGACATGATAATTAAACAATTGGCTATTCCATTAGAATCCCATTTAATTCATTACTTGATAATAAGTGATAATTCTTTTGGTTATAAATCAATTCATGTCTTTCTCTTTTATGTTTTCAGGCTATTTCCCATCCTAATTTTTATAAATATCTATTTTTCAAATAAATATAATGCAATCTATTAAATCTAATTATGGAGTTAATTTTAGTATATGTATAAACTTATACAATATAATCAATATTTTTCATATTGTGTTTTGACTTTACAAACTAATGAAATAAATTGTTAACGTGTTTATCTCATTTAGTCAATTTTTTATCAACAATTATACAAAAAATAAAATACATACTTTAATGAAGATTTTTATGAAATTAATATTTTGATTCATAAAAACATTAATCTTTTGACACCTTGAGCCTTCTCTAATATTGATTTCAAATCATGTCAATTTATTTTTCTTGTATCTTCCTCATGTGAAATATAATTTTTTCATAATTATCTTTAAATTGTTAAAAAAATAAAGAAAATAAATAATATAAAAAAATTTTAGTTTTAAGACGTGAAGAATACTTCTTAAAGGCTATTATACTTTTAGGATATAATAAAGCTTTAAATTTTCTAGTAAAAAATAGTGAAAATGGTTATGCCGAAAGATTTATTTATAATAAATGAATAGATATAAATTTCTATTCAAATTATTATGAATTTATGTATAATCATTACTTTTATAAATAATAATCTATTTATATTCAAATAGTTATAATTATTTGTCATATGATAATTATTTTTGTTTAAACATAATTATTTAAAATATGAATAAAATTAATACAAAAATTAATTTTATTTATTAATAATTAAAATGTTATATTTAATGTGAGATGTATCACATTTTAAATTACTAATATATATTTAGTAAATTATAAAATTTATCAAATTCGATAAATTTTATAATTTTAATTATAAAATTTACTGGATAAAAATATATGAAAGAATTTAAAATTAAAAGATAAAAAAGTAATTAAATAATTTTATTAAACAATAATTAAAAAAGAAGATATAAAGAGTACAAATTCAGGTGCAAACGTAAACACCCTTTGGTTTGTTGCGCGTTTTGCAATTTGCTTTCAATCAGCTCTTTTTCTTATTTTGTGGGTTATTGTATTGGGGATAATGAAAGGACGTAGAGAAAATATATCGAAATTTAAAGTAGAGTAGCAAAACTCATGGATTGTCCTTGTCGACTAAGTTATGGGTATAAATAATAAAGCGGTGTTTGTAACTTATTTGAAGTCAGTTCTAATAAAATTTAGCTTTAATTTGTTTATTGTTGAATTGAGTAGCTTAATTTTTTGATCGAGTCAAATTTAAACGTAAATTTGATTTGAATAATTTATGAATTTAATTTAATTTTTATATTTTAATAAATATTTGTTTTATTTTAATAAAAAATTATTATATATATATTCACGTTTAAATTAAGTTTAAATATAAATTTAAAATTTAATATTAAAATTAAATTTATTTTTATTAATAAATGAGTTTAATTTAATAAAATTTATCACAAATTAAATTTGAACATAAAAATTAAAATTCAATTGAACTCAAATCAAACTTCAAACAATAAATTTTAAATTTTACACCAAGAAGTCAAAATTTTCAACTATATGAACTCAATTAGACTCAACTGCATCGTAACGCACGATGCCTGGGAGTCAATCTAGAGCGCATGTATATCCAAAACAAGCTCCAGAGAGCAATGGCCAATGGATTTTCAGAGAATCTACTTAGCTTCAGGCTTAAGAGTCGTGAAATTTGGATCATTAAGAATAGCTGCCAAAAATCTGCCAAAAAATGCGAAAGTTGGACAGCTCGAGATTAGGATTGACAATTTAATTTGTATTTTTCAAGTTCCACCTCAACCTAATTTTACAGGGCTGGGTTTTTTTTTTTTTTTTTTGTTTTTGAAAAAATTGGGTGAGATTGAAGTAAGATTTTAGATAAATATATATAATTTTATATTTATATTAAAAATATTTTATATTAAAAATAATATTTTTAATTAAAAATATTTTATTATTTTAAATTAAATCGGTAATAATTTTATACGAGACAAATATAAAAATAATATTTTAATATCAAATTAAATCATATTTAAATATTTATGATATTAAATCAAATCAATTTAAGATTAACAAAAACTCGTTTTAATCCGATTCATTGTCATTTTTATTTGAGATTGGATTCTCTCATCTAACTAAAAACAAATAAGCTAAATTGTGGATTTAATTTAAGCTACATGTTTCATTTAGGACTAAACTTTTGAGTTGATGCTCAAACTAAGAGTAAATCTTTTATTTGAGTTAAATTAAAATCAAACGTTTTTAAGTTGTAACAGATAAAAGGTTTTTTTGTGACAGAACTTTGTGAGTAGGACGTTAACTTATGGTGAGGAAAATTATTTACGTGGATGTTCAGTGACATTTTCTCTTATTTTAAAAATGAAAAACTAATTTTAAAGAAAAAAATAAATTCAAAACTGATTCAAAATAGAAGAAATTAATTCAAAGCCAAATTTGAAGTACAAGAAAAAGAATCATTATCAAAATCAAAATTCACCAACAAAAATCCAAACAACCTATATGTAAATTCCCAGAACTCATAAAACCCATATATATTTATATATAATATCTTAAACTGCAATTTAATTGAAAAATTAACAGATATAATATAAATGATTATAAAATAACTTTATAATCAACTTGATTTCTATTAATTTTAGAAATAAAAAAAATCTCAGTCTAAATAAAAAAAATGTTAAAATGTTGAAAAACAAATTGCAAATTGAAAAAAAAAACTTCTGGAAATAAAAATGTCTCATGTGAGATAATTACAAAATACAAATACCTTTCAAAACTTTAAGCCCTTAACCTTTAAAAATATCAACCATTTGGAACATAGGTTTTCACATATTTTGTTAAGGAGATAATCATGAAAAAAAAAAAAAAATCAACCTTCCATTCTATTAAATTGAAACAACATGAAAACGTAAGGATTTAGTGGAAGAAGTAAAAGTAGAAAGTCCAAACTCTCTCACTTCTTGAATGTTTGCCCTCTCAACAAAATTATTTTATCTTATCATGGGTTATTAAATTAATTTTTAAGATAATAACGATATTATTAATTTTAAATATATGAACATAGTAAAATTTAAAAATTTTTCTTTTTTGTTTAATTATTATTTTATTTTATGACTTATTATATGTTTAAAAATAAAAAAAAATAAAACTCCATTAAAACAACAATAGCTAATTGTTAAATAATATCACCATAAGTGATTGATTTAATCGGTTAAAATTATTTTTTTCAATGAAAAAGTTTTAAATTCTATTGTCATAGCATTTGTTGAGTAAATGAATTGATTAGTTTAATATTTAGGTATTAATCTTATTGACATAGATTATACAGCCTATTTACCATCGAATTTTACTAATAAAAAAAATCTACTAAATATTGTTTAAATATTTTCTTTTTATTTTTTAATCTTACTATTATCATGATATTTAATATATTCAAGTATATTTATTGCTTTTGAAAAATGATCCAATTAAATATATAAAAAATAAAAAATAATGGAGAATAGGAATAAAATTGTTTATAGACTTAAAAATAAAAAGGGTGAGCCTGGGCTTAGTCGGGTAATCCAAATATTAATACATTAGTGTTCTAACCTCTTTTATTTATTGATTTAATTTTCGTAAATACTCAAATAATCAAATACTTAAAAAAATAGATATTAGAAACATCAAGAATATTTTTAATACTGATTTAAAAATTTACATTTTCTAATAATTGTTTATCCTAATTATAAAGAAAATACTGTATTTTTTTAATAATTGTATCGAATTTTACTAATAAAAAAAATCTACTAAATATTGTTTAAATATTTTCTTTTTATTTTTTAATCTTACTATTATCATGATATTTAATATATTCAAGTATATTTTATTGCTTTTGAAAAATGATCATTAAATATATAAAAAAATAAAAAATAATGGAGAATAGGGAAATAAAAAATTGTTTATAGACTTTAAAAATAAAAAGGGTGAGCCTGGGCTTAGTCGGGTAATCCAATATTAATACATTAGTGTTCTAACCTCTTTTATTTATTGATTTAATTTTCGTAAATACTCAATAATCAAATACTTAAAAAAATAGATATTAGAAAAACATCAAGAATATTTTTTAATACTGATTTAAAAATTTACATTTTCTAATAATTGTTTATCCTAATTATAAAGAAAATACTGTATTTTTTTAATAATTGTAGATCTTTCCAAGAATTTTTTTCTAATTTAAATCTAATTCAAAACAGATTTAAAAAATTATGAAATTAATATATTAAATGATTTTATCATTTAATATATTAAAAAATGAAGATAAATCTGGGCTTTCTCTTTAAAGCCCGGCCTCAAGTTAGGCCCAGAAAAGCCGGTGGACACCACAGACGAAACCTTCAGAAGGTAATAACCCTATAAATTCACAAAAGCACTTTTTAAAGGGTGTTCTTGCTTTTGTCCGGACGTTGGTCGACGGTTTGAGAACAGCCGTCATCGACTTTGAGTCTTCTTCTTCACTGCAATAAAAAAAAAAGTATGAACGCTATGCCTGATGGAAATGAATCAACGAGAGACGTTAAAACTTTAATCTCATTTTACTCCAACTATCTATGGAATCAACTCTCCACTTTGTTTCCTTCTTCGCCTTCCAATTTTCTCGAGAAAATCTCAAATTTGTCTCGCCAAACCGCTCTTCCTATCTCAACAAAACGTAGGGCTGGTCTTCCTCTCCCATTGCCTGCCAACTTATTCAACTCCACTCCGTATGACCACCTCCACCTTTTATCTTGATTGAAAGAAAAATCATGATATTTAGTATAATATTTGATATTGGATATATATTTTTTTAACATGCAGGATCAAGCCAGAAGCATCCAGAGTTTATGAAGTTCTAAATGATATAATGGATCGCTCCATTTTAAATTTGCATAAAATTCAAAATAATTTGCAATTTTGGCAGTCTAGAGCTGAGGTAATGTTTTACGCTAGTTTCTTAGGCTTATTCGATTTTTATTTCTTTTCCTAAATTGAAAATTTGAATAATAAGGAAAAGAATAGCTGAGGTAATGTTTTACACTAGTTACTAAGGCTTATTTTATCGTTATTTTTTATCTTAAATTGAAAATTTGAATAATTAGAAAAAGAAATATAAGAATTAGTATTGCATTTTTGTTACTATTAGCTAATTTTTTAGTCAATTTTGATTTTTCTTTTACAACTAGCAAATGTAAGAGTTGTTATAAGGCAAAAATTGAATGTCATAATTCAAAACCATACTTGCTAAAAAAATAGAAAAATTACTAAAATGCATCATCAACTATAATTATTATGTTTAATTATAAAAGGAAAAAATTATAAATATTATTTTGCTGTTGTATTCTCTATCCAAGCGCATTTATTCTTACTTGCTTCCAGAAATGAAATATGTGTAGGAAAAACTACAACCTCATGATACTTAAAGGTGTAATTCTTGGTTATCAGCTTCTGTTTTTATTCTAATTTTGTGGAAAATTTCAGGGATCTAATGCTAGGAAAGCTTACTTCATGATTTTTGAGAGAGGGCCACGAGCTTTTGTTAATGGAACGGTTCAACTCATGCGTGAAAGTGTTACTAACGGTTTGGCAATGCATCATCTTTCTCAATCTGCTTCTGCCTATATCTCTGAAAGAATAGCTGTCTTATCTGCCTTAAAGTGTTCGCTTGCTATTTTTTTGGCTGAGGTTTGCTCTATCTTGTTCTAATTCTGTACCATCATGTCATGTTTTGACCAGAATAATGATTCCAAAAACATTGGTGAACTTAACGTTAAGTATGTAGTAGTTTTTAGGCTTGATCATGTAAGCATTGTTGTTTCTTTTGTCATGCATAATTAATCAAAGATTCATTACTTGTTTGTTTGACTAGTTTTATGTGGAAATTGACAAATGTGGAGAGGAGTTAGTACAAGATCCAAAGAAATCATTTTCCTCACTAATGGTCATTCTTAGTGGTTTATTTTCTAAGTTGGAGGCATCAATTGGACATTTTCATGCACAGCATCAGGTAACAAGATTGATTTATAGCTTTTCATAATTGGTTTTGTTTTTGCAACATTTTTTTCTCTTATAGAGAGTGCTTTATACTTGCTGCTATGATTAGTTTTTAAAAACTTATGGTTCCAATTTTGATATACAAAAACTCTGCAGAGCAATTTATCTGTTCATGGAACCTATTCATTTCCCCTACAATTTGAGAAATTACCAGAAATCAATCAAGAAGAGTCTCAATGGACAGATCGTGAAATTATTGATGCTATCAACTTGGTTTATAAGAATCTACAAGAACTGGACTTTTTTTTAGCTCTAATGGTAATGAATCCTTTTATCTTTAATTGACATTGCAATAAAATTAGACAGTATTAGATTGATTAACTGGCTTGTTCATTTAAGGTTCTTGCATGATCAATTAATTTTGGGATGTGTTGCTTACTTTCTTACCTTGCTCTTAGGTAGCTAAACATAAAAAACCAAGAAAAGTAACTCGCTATTGGATCCGGTATACATGTGGTGTAGTTGGCCTTTCAGTTTGTTCTTTCTGGCTCCTACAGCATAGTCGTCTTATGGGAAGTTCTGACATTGACAATTGGATTCGTGAAGCAAGGGAGTCTACAGTTAGCTTCTTTAATGACCATGTTGAGCAACCGGTACATTCTATTTTGCTAATCTGATTGCTCTGTTATTATACATTTCTATTTCCTCCGAGTCTTTATGTTGGCCATTTTTATAATACTTGAGAATTCAGCTGGTTTCATTAAGGTTAAACTCAAATTTTCTTCAGCTTCTGTCAATAAGAGATGAACTTTTGGATACATTCAAGAAGAGGCAGAAAGGTGTAATGGATATGGAGGAAGTGCATTTGACTTCTAATTCTCTCCACATGTTAAATTTTCTTCCTATCGTTTATTGAATTAAAATTAGCAACCAAGACATTTGCAGCATTTTAAGGTTTTTTTGGTTAAGACATTTGATTGATAAGATTTTTTTATTTTTTTTTTCAATTGATAAACAAGTCTATAATTTCTCATTGGTTTAATTTGTGAGAGGTATTCTGATGATTTAACTAAGTCTTAAAGTTTTCTGTATTCATGAAGCATGCCTTTGTGAAGCTACATGGTTGTGAATTTTATGCAAATAGATGATTCTGAACATAGAATATAAATTCCAAAATATACATAACCATTTTATTTGAAAGTGTTAAAACCTTGGGAAAGGGGGGGTGTGGGTGAGGGGCTTCTTCTTTGTCCCAATGGGCCTCAATATGATCAAAAAAGATTTGTACTTTATCTTTTCACACTACTCTAATCTTGGATTGAGATATATAAACAATAAAACCTGGATTCTTCTAGAGATGTAAATTTGTTTGATGTTTGTTTTATTTGGCTGTAGGTTGTCTTCCCGCTTCACTATTTCATCCCTTTCTTTTTTATGGTGATTGGAATTAATGAAATCCTTTTCATTCATTATAAGGTGATTGTTCTATTCTTGACAGCCATGTCTAGTGCTTTTTCTGAATATGGCTGCTTTCATGGTTTGCAGAATGTTATTGGCCTTCAGTGAGCAGTCAAAGGGTCAAAAATTCCCAGAGAATGCATCAGACCAGGAAATGCTTGAGATAGTTATGACAAGGTGTGACTTTCTTTCTAATATTATGGGTAATGCTAATCCTATTAGCACCAATGATTTATGATGCATTTGTAGGACAGTACTGGTGAAAATTTTCCATCACTCAATATTTATAATAAGTGCATAGGAGGAGTACCACGTTCAGTGCTAGAAACAATAGTGAAAAGAAAGAAATTATGCGTAAATAAGAGTTTCAAGATTGAAGTGGACTGAATTTTTCACTTTTAAATAGTGGCCTCTTGAATATAGTGGCTCAAGTTCCGAGAAGAAAATATTATGAAGAAGGAATAAGGATGAGCTGATATTACATACAAGAATGCCATTTATATAGTGATCGTGAAAGCCAACTTGACTTACTGCTCAAGTTTCTTTTTAATTTTTTACACATTTTTTGTGATCCCACAAAAATCAAGTAATATAGGTTTTTAGTCTTCTAAAATTTCCATTCACCTTCTTTTAAGTTTTTTACACTACATATGTCTATTTCATATAATGAAAATGGAAAATGCATTTAATTAAATAGAATTAATTTTATTTGCCAATATAAATAGCATCACTATGATTTCTTTTGGGAGGTTAAATAGGGTTAAATTATTTGTTGTTTAGGTTCAATCTTTTTATTTAAATAAGAATTAAGTTTGAATTTTTTTTATGGGAGTTTGAAATTTTGTTCTCTAAATTGTAGCACTTGATCAAATGGCAATTAAATTTAAAAAAAAAAAAAAAGGTTTCTAACCTTGAATTGTACATTACCCTATTTCATTTTTCATTTTTGAAGTTGAAATTAAACCAACTTATAAAGTTCATCTTCCTAGAGTGTTAAGCATTTCACTTAAAGTAATGACCCTTTAATCATTTCATATTGAATTCCTTTGAGGAGTTTTTTTTTTTTTTTTTAATAAAAAAAATCATACTTTGAAATATAAAAAAAAATTATAAGCAATAAAATTTGAATTATAGATTTATTAGATATAATATTACATGAATAAATTAATTTAAATCTTAAATTTTTTTTATATAAAAATATCGCAGCATGAATTTCTTTTTTCATTTTAAATTAAAATTTTATCATTCTGTCACCAATTTATTGGGTTAATGCACGTTACAAGAATTTCGTTGAACTAAAAAAATGTACGCAAAACGCCCCCCATATCACGTCAAGGAAGACGAATGACCCTTTTGAAAAGTGAAGCGAAAATTAAAACAAAGTCTTGGTCAATTTAAGTCTTTTTAAAAAAAATTTATACTCGGTAACGAAATGCGACAAAGCATGTAGTATTTTCATAATTAAATTTATTTTAAAATTAAAATAATAATGATTAATTATTTTTTAAATTAAAAATATAATAATAAAATTACAGCAGTTCAATACATTTGTACTGTAACCGACTAAAGTTCCGATATCAACCTTTTTATCTTCCTTAGACTTTATTAAATTGCATAGAAAGAAATATAATATTGTACGTAGAAATGTTTCTTTGGAAGTCGACAAAAGACTTGTTGGAAAGTAATAAATCGATAAACGCCTGGGTCGGTTTCATCTTTTATCTCAAGCTTTTCCTTTCAGTAAGTCTGGTCATGGCAGAGCTTTAATAGAATATTAATAAGTTTTAGATTTATTTATGTTAGGCTTGAAATATAGATTTCATTTATTTAAATTTGGCCTATTTTTAAAAATAATTGTCCAAACATGCCCAAATTTTAATTTTTTTAAATAAAAAATAAAAATAAATTTTATAATAAATATTAATTATCATAAAATAAATAATTATAAAACTTAATAATTATAAATAATAATATATAAATAAAAATTAACAAGTCTTCGATATAAACTCAAACCTTTTGTCAACTCAAATTTGGAATAATATATTGCTAAACATCTCCGTTACTTTCACTTTGTTTCAAAGAAAAAAATAAATTGCTTATGCTCATAAATATCTTTATCTTTTTATTTATTTCAGATTTTTTCTTATCAAATTACAATCAGAAACAATAGAAGAGAAGTTATATAATCATAATAAAATACTACATTTATATATAAAACATTATTAAATACTTAGTCAATAAATTAAAATATAATTAAACAAATTTAATATAAATTTAAACCAAAGTAACTCACATTTAATAAGATTTGAACTTAAAATTTCAAAATTCTAAAATTTTTTCTTTATCACTAAATCAAGGCTTTGTTAGCTTGTTTCAGATTTTTTATTCATCTACGATTGTATCTCCTTGTTTAAAAAAATTTCATGCAAATCCCCGGCCTTTTCCCCACCTAATTAGGAAAAATCTTTCCTCCTAACGTCTTGAGAACGAAATTTCTGAATTAGGTACTCTGTACGTTGGAAAAATGAAGTTGAATTTTCTACTAAAGCTCACAAATTAAGTGCCTTAGCCATGCTCAAAATCCTTGGTCACCAATGATTATCGATTAATTGCATTAAAAGCTTCAGTAGAACTATAAATTAAATTTGACGATTTATGTATTTGTATTGTATAAAATATTAAAATTTATATATTTATATTATATTTTATATAAAAATTATTGAATTTATTATATAATTCAAAAACCAAATAAGTGTCAACTCTTATATGTTATTCTTACACTTATAAATTTGAATTTATTAGTACTTTTTTTTCTCTCTATATATAAGTAAGGATTCATTTATATTAGTATAATTTTTATATTTTAAAAAAATTTTAAATTATAATTAAATTTATAATTCATCTGAATTAAATAAATATTTTTAAATTTAATAATTTTGATTTAAAATTTAAAAAATATAAAAGTTAAACTAATATAAATTAATTCCTTCTTATATATTCATATATATATATATATATATATTCAAACAACTCAAATTTGAATAATTAAAAACTCAAAATATCTTTAAATAATAATTTTTTTATATTTAAAATTAATAGATATTAAAATTTAATCGATAAAAGTCATATTATTAGCAGAAGACGGCTGGCAGACTAAATAATGATTAATTGACACATAAAATGACACAAATTTGAAGATGACCTTGAAAAATTAAACTGACCAAACTTGGTTAGTGCAGAAAAAAATCAGAGTTCGAAAAATATTAAAGTAAAGAAAGGAAATGGTTTTGCTTGCTAGGTTTGTGGGTAGAGAAGATAAAAAAATTCGAAATCGACGGATTTCGATTCTATTTGATATTTTAAGGTCGATTTTTTTTTTTAAAATCGGGTATCGGGTCGGATTGGGTAGCATGAAGAAAAAATCAAGGTCGGATTTTAAGTAAATCCGATCTTGCCCGACCTGATATATATAAATAAAAATTTTAATTATTTATTTAATTTTTTAATTATTTATATATATATTTATATATATAATTTTATATTTATATTAAAAATAATATTTTATTAATTTCGGATCAAATCAAATCGGATATGATTTTATATAATATCGAATCAGATCGAGTTCATATATAAAAATAATAAAAAATTATCAGATCGAGTTCAAATTTTATATGTTTAAAATCGGATCAGATTCGAGACGAGTAAAAACCTGTCCCATCTCAACCCGTTGTCATCCCTATTTGTGGACATTAATTTGTATGGCTATTTTGTCATATTTTAATAGAAAAGTAATAACTCTTTTCTAAAATAGAAAAGTAATAATTTATATGAATTCCTATAATGGTCGAGAACGCTTTTCTTTTTGGAAAAAAAAAATGTAGCTTTTCCTTGGGTAATTTAGGGGTTTAATTAAGTTTTAAAGAATGGAAGATCGACCGTTCAAAAAAATTTTTTTTTCTCAAAAGGCTTAAATGAGGTGCGTCAAGCTCAATATTATGAAATCAATTATGATCTTGAGTCCCCTACAATTTGATAAAAGAAATACTAAAATTTTGAGGTCTGAATTTGTATTATTGAAAGCACCTAAAGTTCAAATGTTGAATTTTTCATTGATTTTTGTCATATTTATATATGTATGTGGTATATCTATAGGTTTCATAATTTTATAAAGATTAAAAAAAATATAGAGATAAAAAGAAAAACAATGGTTAAATCTCTAAAAAAAATGGTTGAATTAAATTGTCCGATTAGGGATCTAATAAAAAATTATTCATATCCGTTATCTTTGAATGTAGTTGGAAATGATGCAATAATTTTTTTCAAGGAAAGTCATAATACAAAATAAGAAAAATATGAATAAAATTTTTTATATAAAAAAACTGTAATATAATAATATAAGAAAAAGTTATAAATATCACTTTTTAAATTTATTAAATATCATTTTTTAAAATAGTTATA